GCCGAGGTGACAGAGATGTGCTTTTTTTTCTTTCTTTCCGGTTATGCTATTTTATTAGTTTTCATGCTGCTTTAGAAATGAATAAATCAGTATATGTGGTGTTCTGAAGTAAAAAGTTCTCAGCTTGTTCCTGTGGTTATAGATAGAGCCTTAATTTCCGTGCATGTTACACTCAGATCAGTCTGGCTTTGCTTCTTTTTTGTACTGGAGACCTTTATTTGGTGGATTCCTTTATGCACTGTATTCAAATGACTGGGTGTTCTGCCAGTGCCTTCGACCATTTGCAATTCATGCACTTTTATGTATGTGCTTTATGTTGATGGATTCCTCTCTTGTCTATCTGGTTTCTCGACTGCAAGTTCAATTGACACTCCTTTTCAGAGTAAATTAATTTATGCAAATCTTGCTTTAGTTATTTTAGTATCCTTGAAAGATTCACTTATCTCCTGCTGTGCCACAAATACGTTAAAGGGTCAAACAATTTCCCTTGAGATGGTAAAATAAGGAAACAAAATCATACAAGTATATGGTTATAACAAAAAGGAAGAAAGTAGCGGACCCGCTTAATGGATATTAAGCATCCTAACGTATACCTGGTTAAACTAATTAATGCAGGATGTCAGAAGAAGCACCTTTCTATCCCAGAGAAAAGCTTGTTGAGAAGCAAAAGTTTTTCCAAAGTGTTCACAAGCACACATACCTGAAAGGTCGATATGACAAGATCACCTCAGTGGCCATTCCAGCTGCTTTGGCAGCTACTGCTTTGTTTATGATTGTGAGTTTCTTTGAAATTTTGTAGATTGCTTTATCCTCTCTCTAGAATCAACTCTAATCAGACTCTGGATGATGTTTCAGGGGAGAGGAATCTACAATATGTCTCATGGCATAGGTAAGAAGGATTAAATGGTGGTGTCTGCTCGACCATCGTTCCTATGGCAGCTGAAGTTTGAAAGGGGATATTTTAGACCTGTTTGTTCATTTTGTGGACTTACTTATTAGTAGCTAATACTGGTTAGACGCAGACAATAGAGCGTGCCGATATATGGCATTTGCCATCAGTATTCGGCAGCTAAAACATTTGCTCATGTGTTTGGGTTTATGGATATTTGTATTAGACGGTGTCGGTGTGGAAATCACCATGGCAACTAATGCGTCTTCCTTTATCGTATTAACTATTAAGTATGTCAAAATAAGAAATCCCAAGCCTTCTTTGACCCCTGTATAAGGTGTTTCTAATCCATGACAAAGATAAATAATAGTCGCACCAAGTTAGAATTTAAGAAAATGTAGGTGCCCTTAGCTTTAATCGTTACTACTAAATTATCCTGCTACGCTTTTACCTTGACCTGTTTTCACTTGTACATTATGACACTACTGTATATTTTATGCTAAAGCATCAGGCTTTCCAATCTCTAATTTAATTTATGTAGTTTTACTCTAGTTCTATTTAATTTCAGTATGTACTACCAATAGTAAGATATATTGGTGTATATTTCATCAATGTTTGATTATTGTTGATAGTATTACCCACGATTATTTACTCTTTATGTTTTATATATTTCTTCAAAATCAAACCCTATATAAATTAGATTACATTCAATTTATTATTAATGACCATTTAAATGAGTTATATCTCAATAAATCATTACTTGATACTAAACAAATATGCGACATTGTTACTAGAATAAAATCCAATTAAAATTCATTTTATTATTTGTAGGGTCAGTCAACCAAATTTAATCTAAAATATCAGTTGTCAGCAGCATTGACCTCTTGCAGAATTCTCGGGTCGACTTGACAAAGGAGATGTTCAGGATGATATCTTTAGATAAGTCTACTTCTAAGAGTTTGAGTAACATGAAGTCCTGGACATGGCAGAGGATTTCATGCATTAACCTCCCAATTTGGTCACTGCTGAGCTAGAAAATATTGTTTGTTTCAAAAGGAACTTTGTTCTGTTTTTCTGCATTCACCAAGTTTCTTTATATACTCTAAAGAGGAATCAAATCCCACGCTTAGCTGAAAACTCGGACAAATGTGTCTATAAGTATCCAATCAACAGCAACTTAGAGTAAAATCTGAAACCTTTTTGAAGCCTCTTTACATCCAATTTCCATTCTCGCTGCTTCAAATTACTCCACTCCCAAGCACAACTTTGTTACTACAAAACATGGTATATTCTGCTATTCAATTGATGCCAAGTTCTGGATTTTACACTATATGCTATATGTATGTATACCACTTACATGGATAAGAGATATCGTGTTAAAAAGGAGAGAAAGAAAGAAGAGAAAACAAACCTATCCATTCTCAGTTCTAGTATCGCTAAAACATCTCAAACTCAATATCCTCTCCTATACTTTTGAACTCTTTTTGAGGCTTGGCACTCTCCTTGTTCTGTTGGTTGGTATCAGGGATTACATTTCCCAAGTCACAGAATCTAGGCAGTTCTGGTGGTGTTTCACATCGTATTAACGCCCAGTTAAGTCCCTCGAAGAAAGAATGCTGCTTTATCGCTGCTGCCCCTTTCTCAGCTCCCAACCTATTCTCGGGTTCCTTCTGCAACAACCGTCTGATCAAATCTCTCGCACTAGAGCTAACCATAGGATATGCAGGGAACTTGAGACACTGAGAAACCACGTTGGCTAATGTATCCTCATTTCCTGGTCCTTTGAAAGGTGTCCTTCCATATAACAGTTCATATAAAAAGATACCAAACATCCACCAATCTACTGCACTGCCATGACCTTCTCCTTTGATGATCTCTGGTGCCAGGTACTCATGGGTTCCTACGAACGAGTTGGAGCGGGCATCGGTTGGCTCCACTACCAGCTGTGGCAAAGGTGTGACTTGTGCAGCAATGTCCGCTTTTAGCTTACGTGTCTTACCTGCTGCAGATAAAAATCTAGGGGTGAAGCAGGACACTTGCCAGGATGGATGTAGGCAAAAGGGATCTATGCAGCTAGATTCCGAGCATGGACTAGACGTCTTTGGAGGCTTAACGACAGGAGATGATGATTTCACCAACATAGGATTAACAGCACACCTAAGAGACAAATCAAAGTCGGAGAGCATGATATGACCATCTTCTCGAACCAAGACATTCTCTGGTTTTAAGTCTCGGTAAATGACTCCAAGCATGTGAAGGTATTCCAAAGCAAGAAGAACTTCAGCGACATAAAATCTGTGTAAAGAACAGCAAATGTCAAGATCACATAGAAAACCACTTGAACTGCATCTAGCGAGATTTAAAATGACAAGATGCACTCCCATCATCAGATTACAAAAATACATTAGGAAGACTTGTCCAACGAAGTAACATATAAAGCACAAGATCTTCTCTCAAACACAAGTGTTTTGGAAATTTATTAAGTAAAATTTGAAAGAGTAGGCTCGACTTGTTAGGTGTCACCTGAGATACTAAACTTTAAGTAAATGAATGACTGGAAAGACAGATTGCATATCCCAATTCATTCACCAGAAATTAACTCGATAAAGTCTCCATAAAAAAGTGGGAATTCACTTTCGAATGCGAGGGTCGGAAAATGGAATGACCAAAGAGAAGAAATTAAAGGAAACTGGAAGAAAATTGGACATAATTTGACATAGACTAGACCCCCTGAGCTTTCCGAAAATTACGAGGAACCCCCTCAGCTTAAAAGAGTAAGAGACTTCCCTATAAGTTCGATTAACCTCCCCTGATTAAGTCAAATTTTGTATTAAGGTCCCAAAGTTTTGGAGAGACAAACCTTTATCTCAACTTTGATAAGCCAGTTTCCTGACAAAAACATTTTTTGCCTAAAGGTATTCAAGTCATTTTAAAGGTTCTCACTGATGGGCGTCAGTATTAAGTGTATATTGAAAACAAAGACTAATGTTATCAGAAACTTTGGGAACAGTATTATCTTTTTTTCCTGTTTCACATGGGACATACAAGGAAATTAGAAGGGAAGGATATTTTTTTAAATCTCATAAGCTTGATCCGCTTGAAAGTCAAAGCAATGAGAGAAGAATTTTTCCTGTTCTCTTGTACTGAACCTTGGTTCTAAATATCATTTAACCTCCATACTTACACAAGTTGACTTCTATTCTTATTGAATAATTCAAGTTATAGCATAAAGCAAGCTATTATCCATCAGCAAATAATAAATAAACGTCATTTAGTGGGACGCAAAAGAGATTCTAATAGACCCTCCAAGATAGAGATTCTCTAAAGTCTTAACATAAAGGCCCTAAGACATGCATAACTTCATCAACGAGATAGCAATCATGAAACAAGAGAGTGACCACAAAATGTATATGCCCACCTATATTACCTGTTATTAGGAAGAAATATTTTCAGGGTAGAAGTTAACTAAATTAAAAGTAACCTGGCTGCTTGTTCAGAGAAATTCTTGTTGGGTTGCTTTTGTCGGAGCACATGGAGATCACCTCCTGGACAATATTCCATCACTAAACATGAATATTTGTCATTGGTAATATGGGCATAGAGCGTAGGAAGAAATGGATGATCCAGTATTTGCAGTATTTCTTTTTCGGTCTGCGCTCTTGTCATCTTCCTCCTGCTGGTCAGAAAGTCATTGTCCATAACTTTCACAGCAAACAGACAGTTCGTGCCCATTAGTTCAGATAGATAAACAGTCCCAATGTCCCCTCCGCCAAGTTTTTTAAGCAACTTAAATTGCCTTAAACTAATGTTTCCATGCTGCTTCTGAACACAACGAATGGCTTCCCATCTCAAATCCTTGGACATATGAGGCCGATAGCCACTGCGGCTAGACCCACTGCGATAGCTTTCTTCGCTAACGCTCGTGGTGCTGCTATAATCCCCGATGCTACTCTTTGAACTTTGAGATATCTCCCCCTTTTCTCTTGACAATGATCTTTCATCACCTTTTGTAACTATACTTCTTGTTCTGTTACAACTGCTTGAGCTAAGACCAGGTTTGGTAACGCTTGCATCCAGCATAGATGAACTAACTTCTATGCTATTAGCAGAACATGATTCTGAAGATTCCTTATTCTCTTCTTTCTGATTATACCTCAGTACANCAGTACGTGTTCAGGTGTCTGACAAGCAATCTCACTTGTACTACAACTCAAATCATTGTCACCATTAGATTGCTTGGAACTGCTGGTGAGAACAGAAGCGACTTTCTTCTTAACAAAGGTTCTACTTCTGGAAACTGGTCTCATCTGATTTGGACTGCTAGAAGTAGGTCTGATGACTTTATTTCCAGTACTAAAAATAGATGAGCAAGAAACAAGATCAAAATCTCGTGCCTGCTCCTTGTCTGCTGGGATTACAGTTGTCGGAGCTTCATCTGAGGCGGGCATCATTTGGGCTTCAACTTTTTTAGCAGAAGTGGCAGTTGAAGAATGCGGTAGTTCCAAAACATCTTTCTGCTCAGACGCCTCTTTCAAGTAACCCGAACCAATATTGGTTGAGTGTCGAAAAGCCTCATCTCCGCCTGAAATTTCACTTATTTCTGCACCGTTTTTCATTGCATCTTTAGAAAGATGGCAAGAATAGGTAGCATAAGTAGATTTTTCTTTAATGGGCACATGTTCATAATCAGTAATCTTATCAGAAGGATTTGACATACTCATATCTGGGATGAGGGATATCTCCACTAAATTCCCTATACCTTCGTTGACAGTATGTTCAGGGCCATTAACCTGAACAGCGATGGGCCTGTAAAGTCTTTTGGCAGCCCCTGTCTCTGAGACACCCGACAGCCTGGACGCTTTCGACGACCGCTTCTTCACAGCCGCAAGCTCTGATGCCTGAGAGATGCATAATCCTCTGAAGGCCTGCTTCAAATTTGCAGGCTCAGAATTGTCAAAACCTGATGCTCGAGCGGGGCTAGATCTCATTGGTCTCTTCATTGCGCTTTTATTCAATGCATCTTTGACACCTCTATGGGAAGTCCTAATTTCTATAGCTTCAAACAGTTTGTTAATATCATCCTTCATACAATACTGTTTACCAGTGTTCAGGATATCATCATCCATTTTAGATTCAGGATTTAATTCCTCTATTGACTCCGTAATTTCACAAGTAGCAGGCAAACCACCCATTGCTTCTAGAAGCATATCTAAAAGGAAGTTTGATGTGGCCAGTAAAGTCTATCTAACCCATCTCAGCAAAGCAGTATGAAGAGAAAGAAGCACACTATTGCAGCAGTTATTTAGAAGACCTCCAAAATGGTTGTTGATCATATTCAATTCCAATATGAAAAAGTTTGGCAACTACCTCTTCACTGCATTCAGTATGCAGCAACGATTATCTGCTACAGATGAAATAGTTCAGCAACTTAATGATGAACAATCAATTCACAAGAAAAATTGAGCCATTTAAAGCCAATAAAAACGATTTATAGCACCCACAAGTTATGTCTTTTCTGGTACATCTGTTTTAATTACTGCAGTTGGGAATTGAAGATAAGGGACTATGCAGTTTTCCATATTATGAACCTATTGACTAAATTCATGCCATGGTACACCTATTTATCACATCTACAGCCAGTTGTTCATATGTAGACAATGTTGAAAAACAAATTTGTGTAGACTTTACTACTCTAGACAACCACCATGAAGACGAGTTTAAGAACGATAAATTTCCAACATATCATTAATTTTCTTGCACATTCATTAATGCTTAAAGCTGTGAACTCATATGACCTCTTCACTTTTCTATTTCATTTTAAATTCTAAATTTCATTAGTTTTTCTATATATATAGCTCCTGCAATTTTGTTAACATTTGTTAACCCACAACAGTTTCAAGAAAAGCTTCAAATGATAAATCCACCAAAATCAAGCTAAAAAGATTCAGTAAAAAAAATCTCTGATACACATAATTTATTAGCTAATATAAGGAAAAATGACATACAAGAAATACTTAACATTAGAAAAGGGCAACCCAGAAAAATTAAAAAAGATTCAATCTTTAATAGGATCACACAACACTAAACATTTCAGCTTATGAAAAGACAAAATCAACAAACTGTACTGTTCCAAGAAAAGCCCAAAAGGGAAAAAAATATCAGCAAATATGAGGTCATATTTCAATCAGTAGCAGGAGAAACAAAACCCAGAAAGGAGGACCAGCTTTAAGGCTACTGTGAACATTCAAAAAGAAGAAAGACAATACTACATAAAGTTTCTACCTTTAAACAAAATATGCTCAAACATAAAATAAAAAGGTACACATGTACGGACAAGAAAAGAGATGAAGCAGCAACCTGAAACGAGATCAGCAGCAAAAAAAGGAAGCTAAATTTTTATTGAACAAAGAAGAAGAAGAAAATGGGTGTTATTTCAGTGGCAAGAATTGAGAAAGTTGAAAAGTTTGAAGGGGAAAAGAGAAAATCCCATAAGTAATTACTACTACTTTAGAGAGAGAAAAGGGGAAATGGGTGAAATTGAATGAGGAAAGTGGAAGAAGAGAGTTGAGGGGGGAAATCACGAGACTGTTCTTTTCCTCTCTCTCTCTCTCTCTCTGTATATAAATTTCCTGTGTTTGTGGAACTCCAAATTGGCGGAAAAAAAGGAAAGCCTACTGTCAAGACGAAGACGACTAGTAGAGAAATGGATTTAGTTTTATGTTTGAGCATATTTGAGAGCTTTTTTCCAAAAAGGAAAGCGTACTATCAAGTTTGAGAGCTTTTTTTCAAAAAATATCTTTTTGTTTATAAATTACTTAGTAATTATTTTTTGATAGATTTTGAAAATAAAATCTTCAAATCCCAAAAATATCTTTACAATACTATTCACATAACTTCAATTTTTTTTAAGTAAAATATATATCCAAACACAATTTTAATTTTCAAAAATCTTTTTCATTTTATCTTTAAAAACTCATTTTTTTCAAGTTTCGACCAAATCTATGTCCAAACGCTACTTAATATTCACTAATAGCATAATTTTTTACACTATTCAACTAATAATAAACATTTGCTATATTTTATTTTTTAATTTACTAATTTTACTTATTAATTACTCCTATCTTTTAAATGATAATACTATGAAAAAAATTCCTTGCCAATGTATAAAATTAAATTTGGAATGCGAATCGTACTTATGGAATCTCATTCATTGAGAAATTATATGTATAAATAGGGTTAAAACTAACTTTTTCATATATTATACATTGTGAAAGCGCCTTGACTGGTGATAAATATTGTATTCTAGCATTTCTTAAATCCTCTTGCTAGATTTTCTCGGTCCGCAATGCCTTCGTTGTTATAAATTGCTGACTAATGTCAAAATAATTTGATTATGATAAATTTTGTGAATATTATTATACTTAAATAAAGTGTAATAGGTGGAAACAATTCATATGACTGACTCCATTAATTAATAAAAAAATTAGTATTTAGATGGATAGTTGGAAAATTTCGAATTGTGAGTTAAGTTCTTTACCCTGAACAGTTACTTTGGAACATTAGGGGCATTCCTAAAGGTAAACCAAGTTCAACCAAAAATATGCCTAATCAAGTCAAGTTAGTCAGAAAAAGTTGTTACAAATTGTTTACCAGCATTTAGAAGAAAATCATGTATTAACACACATATATATAAAGGTGTTAAATGAACAAAAAGAATATTAGTGTAATTTAATATAGTACCTGGGAAGCAAGGAAGGGGGTGGGGAGCGTTTGAACCAAGGGACATAAGGAGGTTGATGGAATAATGTGTTTTTTTACTGTTTATTCATCTTTTTACTCTTTTACATTTGCTTTTTATTCAAATTGTGACCTTTTTGGTTACTATTTTTGTTAGGGAGAAAAATTTGAGCTGGAACTTGATCATTTCTTCTCCATTCAACTCCAAAGTTGGAAAGAGACTTGCTTCTACTTTTGGACACATGCCAAAACATACAAGGATTCAAATATTTAGGGAATAATAGAACCATTTCAATCCAAGAGAAAGTCTATAGGGGTACATAGGTTATTTGGAAGGAGATTTCTGTACATTAAGGGACCAAAACCTAAAATCATACTTTGTGATTGTATACGGTAAAAACCACTTTCAGAAGTTGGATGAATTAAGAAGCGACACGTGTCAAGGGTGACTAGTCGGCAGTGATTCAACCACGTTCATTGTGGCTAGATAAGATGTTGACATCGGATACAAATATATAGTCAGATAAAAGCAATTCAAGATATGACCGTTACAGAAGGCCCCAAGATTCCTCCACTCTTTATTAGCGTTTATTAGGTTTTATTACCTTTTATTATGCTTTATCACATTTTTTATTATCTTTTATTGTAGCATTAATATTGATAATTAATGGGGCATAATTGGTAGACCATACACCCTATATATAGCTCTACTATAAATAGAGGCTTTCATTCTATTTTTGTCATGGCCCAAACCGATGGGCCGCGACGGGTGACCGAATCCTACATGTCGAACATCCTTAAACATCCGTTTAAGATATAAACGTGAATAACATACGTGAGGAAAATCTATCCAAAAGACATGTGCGGATACATGCGGAATAAAGTGGGTGAGCCGGCAAGGCTGCTATAGACCACTATATACCCAAAACTGAAAGCCGACAAGGCCACATACTATTCAATTATACATAACAGTCTACAGACCTCTAATAGAAATACAATTGTACAAAGACGTGACTGAACCACGTCATACCCATATATATATATATATATATATATATATATATATATGTATATATACAAGCATATCGTACCAAAATCAAAAGCATCTCCGGATCAAGTGGAGCACGCCAACTTTCGCTGATCAAGGATCCTAAGAAGGGGGACCATCGGATTACCTACCTGCACCTGCGGGCATGAAACGCAGGCCCTGGGAAATAGGGCGTCAGTACAAATAATGTACTGAGTATGTAAGACATGAAAATCAATACATAAAAAACATAGACGAAACATGGAATAAAGAAATCCACCTGTAAGTCTGAATAACTTTGTAAATTCTACAACATTTATAGTGTCATGCACGTGCATGTAAATGTCGTCTCATGCATAGGTGTAGGTGTACATAACATCAGACAGCTTCTGAGGGCATCCCATCATATCGTCTCGTCCACTGTGGGCAACATCATTAACATATACCAACTGATCAAGTGGTGGTGCATATAACGCCGTAACCTTTTCCCGTATCCCATATACATATATTTACATATATAAGCGTATATAATGCCATCTGGTCATGGATCAGTGTAAATGAATGCAATGCATGAAATGCATAAGAAATACGTTAATAAGATTTTCTCGGAATGCCATAAAAATCAGTATACCTTTTAGATAAATTTTATCAAATACGTATTTTTCTGAGACCCATGAACAGAAGATATAATAATAATTCACATGGAGAATCGAAAATATAGACACCCCTAGTATTTCTATGAATAGAGTCATTTATGAAAATTGCGTATTTTACTCGTTTTATTTGTATTATTTGGATCATGCCAAAAAGAAAGAAGGGATAACCTTAACATACCTGGAGTAGAAAAAATCCGTATAATGTTCTTGGAAAAGATTGCACTGTACTTCTTTAAAACTACAAAATTTTACGTTGCTAACAATTCTCGTTGGATTTCTTTTAATTGCAAGAATTCACGTTTTTGTTGAAAACCTTAAGAATGGATAACGTTCTGTAGTGCTTCTTAACTACCATTCATGGCTAATGAATTGTAAAAAGGCATATATTCAGATTGTAGGAATGACTAATGTCTTGATTGTGGTAATTTATATACAAAATATAGAGAAATGAGGTGTCTTGAATTTATTAAGGTATGTTGCCACCTAATTAAAGTTGACTAAGAGTCATCTTTTAGAAAGTGGCTTGCTGCCACGTGGGGTGGGTGAGTGGGGGAATTTAGTCTTTATCCACTTATTAAGTAATTAGGTAATGTCTCGTTACCCGATAATTAACTAATTACCCGCATAATTAAGAATTGTCTCAAATTACTTAAAATTTTACTCATTTTTAATATACTTTATGCATCATAATATCATAGTCATATTGTATCTTGTATGGTACTAGTCCATAGATATCGGTTATTATAGCGTGGACCGTATTTTACCCAAAATCGTCAACCTTCAACGAAACTCATTTTATTTAATTCGTGTACCCTTTATCCTCAATGACACTTACTTATCGCTTGTTATAAATAATATAAATTTGCTAACCTCAAGATAATCTCATCCCCGAGTCTCTGTCAATTAACTGAAGACGAAACTTTATCGTACGAGAAACGCGAGATGTAACATCTTTCCCCTCTTAGAAACATTCGTTCTCGAATATTTAACTCCCCGGGATCTATATGACTTTTGCAGAGTCGCCTTTGTAATAATACTACTACCAACTCCCACATAGGAACACAATCATCTGTAACGATAATGGCCTCACACGACCAATGACAATAACTAACACAAGAATCCATACACATACCTTAAGGTTGTGATATCTTAGTCAGACCCTTTTCTGGAGGAGGAAATAAATAGGGATACCTAGACTTCATGTCTTCCTCGTCCTTCCAAGTTATTTTTTCCATATTGTTGTTTCTCCAAAGTACTTTCACCGAAGCTACATCTTTAGTTCTCAATCTCTGAACCTGTCTGCTACTATAACAATGGGAGTTTCTTCATATGATACCTGCTCTGTAATCTGAACGTCGTCAACTGACACGATTCTGGAAAGATCTTCGATACATTTACGGAGCATAGACATATGAAAGACTGGATGTACAGACTCCAAGCCTGAAGACAAGTTTAACTCATATGCTATATGGCCTACTTTATATATGATCTTATATGGTCCAATGTACCGAGGAATAAGTTTTCCTTTCTTTCCGAACCTCATGACACTTTTCATCGGTGATACCTTTAGGAATACCCAGTCGTCAACCTGAAACTCCAAGTCTTGCTGTCGATTATCCGCAAAGAAATTCTGACGGCTTTGAGCTGCTAATAGCCTTTCCTGTGTAAGCTTAATTTTCTAGATTGCATGTTGTACCAATTTTTGGTCCTACTAACATAGTTTCCCCAACATCGAACCACCCTATAGGCGATCTACACTTTCGTCCGTAAAGAGCTTCGTATGTAACCATCTGAATACTGGAATGGTAGCTATTATTATATGCGAACTCAATAAGCGGCAGATGATTATCCCAGCTGTCACACTTCCTTTTTCACTACACCTGAAAGGGAATAAGAGAGTTTTTTCTATTAAAGTGACAATAACCGAAGCGGGATTAATTATTTTGAAAATCAGAGTCGCCACTTGGGATAATTTATGGTGTCCCAAGTCACCAGTTTAAAATCCTGAATCGAGGAAGTTGACTCTATTTACGGTCTGCGAACACATAAATCCGGGTAAGGAATTCTGTTAACCCAGGAGAAGGTGTTAGGAACTCCCGAGTTCCGTGGTTTTAGCACGGTCGCTTTGATCATACTTGGCTTAATCAGATTGTTTAATTACTCATTTTAGAACCTATGTGTATTAGCCGCTTTTAATTAGGAAATTATCTTGAAACAGGTCACGCGTACGTGTACCTATTTGTTTGGCACGTCAAAAATCATGTCACGCGAACGTGTCCACAATTAATAACGCTTTATTATTGTTAAG